GCTCTTTAGATTTTTAATTGAAGAAATTTTCCGGCAGAAAAATCCCCAAGAATCAACCAGAAAAAGATGGAATTGGAGGTGTGGCTCAAGTAGTAGAGTACCAGCCTTGGTGGGAAGAGAAAATAACAAGCAAGTACAGAAGGTCCTGGATTCAGGCCCCAGTACTGGCACTAGAAATGAAAAAGTACTTTTTTTCTCCTCTTGAGTATCAGTTCAATGTCTTTTCTTTAAACATTTGATTTCCTTGTTATCTGTCTCCTTTTTTTTTAGTGAGGGCCTTCAGCTTGAACTCATGGGCTGGATGCTGTCCTTGAGCTTTTGTACTCAAGGGTAGTGCTCCACCACTTGAGCCAAAACTTCTCTTCTAACTTTTTGGTAAATTGGAGATAAAGGTGTCCTGACTTTCCTTCTCTGGCTGGCTTTGGACCCTGATCCTCAGATCTCAGCTTCCTGAGTAGCTAGGACAGCAGGCTTGAGATTTTTTTTCTTTTTTCTTTTTTGCCCATCCTGGGGCTTGAAATCAGGGCCTCAGCACTGTCCCTGACAGTGTTCTACCACTTGAGTTCAAGACTACTGTTCTACCACTTGAGCCACAGTCCCTGAGCGTTTTTGTTCAAGCCACAGGACAACTTCTGGTTTTCTGGTAGTTAATTGGAGATAAGAATCTCATGGACTTTCCTGTCCTGGTTGGCATCAAACCCTGATCCTTATCTGTCAGCCTCCCAAATAGCTAGGAGTTAGGTGTAAGCTCCCAATAGTTTTTTAAAACTGTGTGCATGAGTTCGTGTGCACTGTTCCTGGGATTTGAATTTGGGGTTTGGGTGTTGTCTGTGAGCTTTTGAGTTCACGGCTAGCGCTCTACCACTTGAGCCACAGCACCACTTCTGGCTTTTTTCTTTTTGCTTATGTGGTGCTGAGGAATCGAACCCAGGGCCTCAGGCATGCAAGACAAGTGCTCTACCACTGAGCCACCTTCCCAGCCCCTACTTACTACCTTTTAAAAAATAATTTATTGGAGATTAGAGTCTCATGGACTTTCCAAGTTGGCCTAATTTCAAACCACAATCCTCAGATTTCAGCCACCTGAGTAGCTAGAATTATAAGCTTGAGCAAGAATGCCCAGGTGTTTTTTTTTGTTTTGTTTTTGTTTTTAAATTACTATTGCATTTGGTTTTCCTTGAGTGCTAAACATTGTTGAATGCTAGTTGGGACTTTGTTTTGACCATTTTAGTTGGCATAAATGTTAATTTTATTTTCAAAGATCTTAATAAGGTCTAAAATTTCTATTTAATTTTAGTTCTCTGGAGTTTTAAATATTTTCCAATAGGAACAATATTATACAGTTGTAGGTTCAAGTCAACTCTTAAAATCTCTTTTGTGTGTCAGTTTGGATATTTAGTTTGCATTAGTCAATTGACCTCATGCTGAGATGAATTTAAGATTTGAAAGAACTTAGATCTACCCCAATAGTAGGAATTTCTGAGACTAGGACATAAGTGGTATCAATTTTAAAAGCTCTTTAGGGGGCTGGGAATGTGGCTTAGTGGTAGAGTGATTGCCTAGCATGCTTGAAGCCCTGGGTTCGATTCCTCAGTACCACATAAACAGAAGAAACAGGAAATGGTGCTATGGCTCAAGTGGTACAATGCTAGCCTTGAGCACAGAGGGTCTCAGGGACAGAGTGCAAGCCCTGAGTTCAAGCCCCAGGAACAGAAAAAAAAACAACTCTTTAGGTATTTAAAGTATATGCCCAGGGTTGAGTATCACTGCTTTAACTACTAGAGCTATGAGGGTTATTTTTGTTGTTGTTGGTCATGGGGTTTGAGCTCTGGGCCTGGGCACTGTCCCTGAGCTCTTCAGCTCAAGATTAGCACTCTACCACTTCTGGTTTTCTGGTGGTTAATTGGAGATAAGAGTCCTGTAGACTTTCCTGCCCTGGCTGTCTTTGAACTGGGATCCTCAGATCTCAGCCTCCTGAGTAGCTGCGATTACAGGCCTGAGCCACCAGTGCCAGGCTTTATTTACTTTTTTAAGCATGTTATCTAGCAGTTGTAGTTAACAGCTTCTAAGGTGAATAACTCCATGAAGTCGTCATCCATCAGTTACAGAGTCAGAGAAGCCAGCTAGCTATGGAATTAAATGTAGGAGTTGCTAATTAAAACATCTGGCTGTTTTCTGCTTTTTTAGTGCAAAAGGTTTGCATACTAGTTAATACCTTCCAGGGCTGGGAAGGTGGCTCAGTTGTAGAGTGCTTGCCTTGCATGCTCGAGGCCCTGGGTTCGATTCCTCAGCACCACATAAACAAAAAGAAAAAAGCCGGAAGTGGCGCTGTGGCTCAAGTGGTAGAGCGCTAGCTTTGAGCTGAAGAGCTGAGGGACAGCGCCCAGGCCCAGAGTTCAGGCCCCACGACCAGACCCAAAAAACAAAAAATACCTTCCACAGGTGATCATTAGATTTAGCAAATTCAGTAACCTTATGATGCCTGAAAAGCTCATATTTTGGCTTTCTGAAAAAAAGTGCTTTTGTTTGTTTGTTATTTCTGAGACAGGATTTTGTTGTGTAGCTCAGGCTGACCAACTCAAAATGCTCCCACCTCATCCTCTTGAGTTAAGGGATTATAGATAATGTGTGGCCACACTTGATTTCTAGAATTTTCATTGTGGTAAAATATTCAGTACATTTTCCATTTTGACCTTTTAAAAATTAATAAAAATGTTTGGTGGTATCAGAATTTGAACTCAGGGCCGTGTATGCTTGCTTGGCTGATTTGCTCAGCTGGTACTCTACCACAGGATCCATACTTCAAGCCTGACTTTTTACAGGTCATTTTAGAGTTGGCGTCTTACTGACTTTTCTACATAAGCTGACTTCAAACCACAATTATTCAGATCTAAGCGCCCTTGAGTAGCCAGGGTTACAGACATGAACTCAACTCTATTAATAATTATCTTTAAAAATAGAATTCAGCAGAGTGTGTCACACATCTGTAATCCAAATATTTGAGGCAAATACTTGAAGTGGAAGGATCAAGAGTTTGAGTCAAGTCTGGACAATGTAAGGAGAAAAGAAAAGGAAAAAGAAAGGCAATTAAGTCACATTCACATTATGATCATCAATAGCATCTACACAGAACTTTTTCATCTTCCCAACTGAAAATCTATACCCAAATAATTAGTAACTCTCCTTCTTTTAAGCTTTTGGTTGTGTTGTTGAGGCAACTCTGAAATAGCTCTTTGAATTTGTTCATGTTTAGCTTTTCAAGTAAAATTAATTGGTCTTTTTCTTCTTGATAATGTATATTCTAGGTAGCTCTTTTCAACTTCTTATGTAACTTTTCTGTTTAATTCTCACTGCTTTATTTCTGATTACTAGGTTTTCAACAAAGTTGTTCTTTTATTTTCTTTGTGATTATTTTTAGTTTCTATAATTTGTTTTTGTTTTGAGACTCACTATGTATGTAACCCAGGCTGGCTTCCCCTCCTACCTCAGCATTCATATAATATATTGTGCTTGGGGACTGTGTGTTCTCACTTGAGTCACACTTACAGTCCAGGTTTTGCTAGTTATTTGGATTTGAGAGTTTCATGTCTCATGTCCATTCTGGTTTCAGCGCGGATCCTCTGAACTTGTCTTCTGAATAGCTAGGATTATAGATGTGAGCCACCAACTCTTGCCACTGGACTGTTTCTTAATGTAATTAAAATATCTGAGGTTTTTGTATTGCTGTTATCTTCCAAACGGTCAAGCAGAAAATTGCCATTAGATGAGGAGTGACTTATAAATAGGGTCTGCAATCTTCTGTCGAGTCACTCCTCAAAATCCCTGAAGCACTTAGTTGAGTCTAATCTTTCTAATAGGGTTACTCCTCTATCCTTTATATTTTATGAAAAGTGATAGAGTTGAGGCTTGATTAGAATTTAATGCATACTCCTCTCCTGCTTCTTTTTGAGATGAGTTCTCGCTGTGTTGCTCATACTGGCCTTGAACTCTAGTTCTCAAGTGGTCCTCCAGTCTTAGCCCTCTTTGAGTCAGGAGTAGAGGCCATGGCCACTATACCTAGCTGAGGTTTCTTTATCTTTTTAAAGGTTAAGAATGTCTTATGAAATTAATAGTTTTCATACACTTTTTTTTTTTTTGGTGTCAGTCCTGGAGCTTGAACTCAGGGCTTAGGTGTACTGTCTCTGAGCTTGTTTGCTCAAAGTTAGTGCTCTACCACTTAAACCATAGCCTCTACTTTCAGTTTTTGGTAGTTAATTGGAGATGAGTATCACAGACTGGCTTCATTCCACAATCCTCAGATCTCAGCCTCCTGAGTAGTTCGGCTTATAGGTGTGAGCCATGAGTATATGTCTCATATCTTTTTTTTTTTTTTGCCGGTCATGGGGCCTGAACTCTGAGCTTGGGTGCTGTCCCTCAGTTCTTGAGCTCAAGGCTAGCGCCATGCCATTTGACACAGCACCACTTCCAGCTTTTTTTTTTTTTTCCTGCTTATGTGGTCCTGAGGAATTGAACCCAGGGCCTTGTGTGTGCAAGACAAGTACTACCACTGAGCCACCTTCCCAGCCCTTATATCTTTTTTTTTTTAATGTTGAAAATTTTCATTTTACTTTAGCTTGCTCAAATACTTCTAATTTTGAGGGAATGATATTGACAAGTTCTTCATGAAATTCTTCCGTTTTGTGTATTCATTGATGATTTAAAGATTGTTGCCTTGATTTCTCCATTACTTTTGGGCATGTGACCATTTTCTGCCAAAGACCAGACTATAAGGATTTCAGACTAAGCGTGCCAACTTTTCTTTCAAACTATGTGAGCTATTTCAAAGCCAGTGTTCTTAAAAAAATACAGCTAAAAAAAGACCTTAAACATCTTAGTGTAATCTTCTCAAAAACAAGCATAAGAAAGAGAGCCCAACTCCCAACTGGCAAGGCTGAAAATATGTGGACCATTGCAAAAAGGCTTGCCATCCTTAATTTAGACTATTCATTTCATATAACTGACCTGTTTTCTTGTATTCTAATTCTTCTTTGTTGTGTCTTCTGCCTGTCAGTTTCTGTGCATCTGCTCTTGCAGCTATGTGCTCTTGGTATATTCTCTACCCAGATGTGGAAGCCCTCATTTAAAGTTGAAACCATTTCTTCTACAAAAATTCTTTCTCTCTTCCTTATTTCCTTCTCTCTCCCTTAAACTGTAGAATTGCTAACAAAACTGTTAACTTTAGATTTTATAAGTAGCTATACAGTAAAATAATATTAAATAAGATCAATAGTGTCATGTTTCAAGGATTGTTGAGTATTTTTACAGGATTGTTCACTTAAAACTTTCTGGTTAAAATAGCTTATAGAACATACAGAGGTGAGATAGAAGTTTTAAGAATGGAAAAGCAGAAAACCAGTGTTACACAAAGTAAGGAAATTGGTATGTCATTGCCTTTTTTTAAACTGTTGATTAAATGGGACTTTTTCTATTTTTTTTTTCTGCATGAGAATTAAACAGTATGTGTCCTGTACCCCTGTCATTGGTGTGAATAATTTGAAGCTTTTAATAACTTTGAAAATAAAGGGACAATGGAGATATTTTTAAAACCATCTTCAAATTCTTGGGAAGAATAATAATCACTTTCCTCTTTCCTCTTGAGACACTTGGCATCTTCTCCCTTCTCCTTAAGGTGTTTGGAAAATACTTGTGTGGGAGGTAATCATTTACTTCTTCCTGTCTTCTTGTTACTTCCTAATGTAAAACCTGTGATTGTTTCTTTTTTCTTCAGTGGCTTACAGAAGAGATGAAATGTGGTCTGAGGGGCGGTATGACTATGAAAGGCTCCCAAGAGAAAGAGGGCCGCCTCGGAATCACGGCAATGTAAGTGTCAACTTCTTCCATAGAATAACTCAGAACCTGCTGTCCAAATTAATGTGAAACACAAAATCTTCAGGGGTCAGAAGCTAATCTTTTAGAAGTTGGAAAAAAAATATAAACATTTTATTTCTTGAATTTCTAGAACAAAAGGTTTATACTGAATTTAATTTAGGGAAGATATTTTTAGTTTCATAAAGGTCACAGCAAGTTTACAAATAAGTTACTTGAGCACCTACTCCTAATTGTTAGTTGTCATCAGTCTCTGTTTTTTAAAACATTTGCAAATTGAATATACAAAATTTGAGAGTAGCTTTTTTAATTCAGGACAGGATAACTTTCTAGAGCAGAAACACATTAACATCCCTAGATAGGATTCCAACAACTATGTTTTCCTGTGGACAGGTAACCTGTCTAGTGAGTAAGAGTGCCTCAGGGACTTGGAGACACAGAGGCAGCTTCTGGTGTTCTGTCCTACCTCTTGTTTCAGTCACTCTTGTGGTTGGAAATTTTGAACTAGGTCTTTTTTTTTCTCAAGGAGCTTGTTATTATACTGTTTTCAGCACTTCATTTAGTACATAAAGGCTCATACATAATAAGAGGCTCAGTGTTTTTTTATTAAACAAATATATGTATTCCCTTCTCTTTAGACCTAAGGATAAAGTTTAATAAGGAAAGGCAAAAAAAAACAAAACACCTTTTACTTTTCTGCACAGGCTAAGTGAGGCCTTAACTAGAAAATAAAGCAAAAAAAGATTGGTAGAGCATCTGTCTATCAAATTGGAGGCACCCTGAATCAAAAACCTCAGTAATGTCACAGAGAAAGAGAGGAGAGTAGGAAGAGAGGAAAAGAAGACAAAAGAGGGAAGAAATGAGGAAGAAAGCAAGAAAGTAAGGAGACAGGCCTGTTCTGAGCATCAGGGAAGTTGGGTGGTAGAAATGGTATGTGGACATATATTATGGAATCATTATGTACCTTCAGAACGTACAGATATTGGTTTATTTGAGGCGTCTATATAATATACAGCTCTCTAAGATAGGCAGTCTCACCCAAGGGCTGACATTGACTGGATAACAACTCAGGCTAGGTCCTGAGGTGAATTAAAATGGGAAAAATGAAGAATCTCATCATATTTCTTCTTTCTAGGATAATGTAAAAACTATATTTTAATCCCAAATCCCAATGTTTTAAGGTGTGTGTGTGTGTGTGTGTGTGAACTCAGGGCCTGGGCAGTGTCTTTGAGCTCTTTTTTTTTTTTTTTTTGCTGGTTATAGGGCTTGAACTCTGGGCCTGGGCACTGCCCCTCAGCTCTTCAGCTCAAGGCTAGCACTCTACCACTTGAGCCACAGCACCACTTCCAGCTTTTTGTGCTTATGTGGCGCTGAGGAATCAAACCCAGATCCTCATGCATGCAAGGCAAGCACTCTGCCACTGAGCCACCTTCCCAGCCCTGTCTTTGAACGCTTGTTCAAGGCTAGCACTCTACCATTTTAAGCCATACTGCCACTTCTGGTTGTATTTCCAAGACATATAAAAGAATTTGCTGTGTGGCTGTTATCAACTGGGCATCTGTCTGTAAGACAGTTTGCTTTCTTTTTCTTGTTTGAATTGTCATTTTATTGGAAGATGGTAAAATTAGTTACCAAATTAAACTTTAATAAATTGTAATATAATAATATAATGTAATATAATAACTGTAACAAACTTGGTAATAATCCTAAATTACCCAACAATTAAAGCAAACTGCTTATTTAAAAGTGATCAAGTAACACAAAAGGCAGAATAAGAATGAGAAACTTGACTGGCCAATAGATTTAGTTCACTAAGTGAAACTTTAATTTTTTTTGTTTTTAAGAAATGTGAACTGATTTCTAGAGATAACAACACCGAAAGATTTTGTACACAAACTAATTTCCACTCAGTCAACTGTTTTTGGAGATCTCTGTTGGGGAGATTCATTTATATAACTAGGTGTGCTTGAGCCTTCTTTGCAAGCATCTTGAAATCTGTGATATACTTGGCAATTGTCTCCTTTTCCTGCTGTGCAGAGATGCTTTGTGTCACATGCTCCTCCACCCAGTTTATTATGTGCTCTTGCTCCTTTCAATGCATTATATTCTGCACAGAGATATGGTAGTCCAGGTGATTCTTTACCTTTTATACTCTATGCAGCCGGTCCCTGTAAGTAACTGCCAAGGCTATAGCAATGTTATTTCTCTGGACATCAAAAAGGTAGTGATGTTTCTGAACCAGTGCCTGTTGTGTCTTCTCTGTATCAGTTTGTTTGATGGAAGCCTGTTTTACCTCTTCTAGTTGGACAATTTTTTGCTCATTGATTTTATCAATAAATTCTGCAAAAGAGGCTCCATATTTTTTAATAATATACATCATTAAGCTTAATAATGATAAGCCAGAGAAAGTCTCTGAAGTAATCATATATCTTTAGTTGCACAGAAAATACAAGAAAAGCCCAGTTCCAAGCATGTAGGATCCTGTCACACCAGTTTTAGAATAAAGAAACTGGAAGAATTCCTCTGGCATCAGCCCCAAACATACTTTCCCTCCATATTCAGGAAGAAGTGGTAGAGGGGCAAAACTTGGCGGTGTAGTGTGAAAGATCTTTTTTGTCTGCAATACCCCTGGTCCTAGGAGGGTTGTATTCTTCAGACAGGGAGCTATGGCACTGATGGCAGAGAGTACCACCCCAGACAACATGGCTAGCAAATGTGCACACAGCAGCCACAGTCTCCCTGTGACTTCCACCAGAGACTGTGTCTGGGGACAGGCCCAGTTTGTTTTCTTGCCTCAGCACAGTTTAGGAATAAGAAAAGCATTCCCCCCCCCCGCCCCCCCAGTTCGGGGGCTTGAATTCAGGGCCTGGGTGCTGTTCACTAAGCTTAAGCCTAAGCTTTTGTTCAAAGCAAGTGTTCTACAACTTGAGCCACAGTTCCACTTGTGGCTTTTTTGGTAGTTTTTTTGGAGATAAGAATCTCACAGACATGGGCACAGGTGGCTCACGCCTGTAATCCTAGCTACTCTGGAGGCTGAGATCTGAGGATCACGGTTCAAAGCCAGCCCGGGCAGGAAAGTCCGTGAAACTCTTATCTCCAATAAACTACTAGAAAACCGGAAGTGGCACTGTGGCTTAAGCGGTAGTGCACTCGCCTTGAGCTGAAGAACGAACGCAGGGACAGTGCCCAAGCCCAGAGTTCAAGCCCCACGACCCACCAAAAAAAAACCACACACATATTTCATTGATTCAGCATTTTTCTGTATTTTCAGCTGGATGCTAGTGGTCCATACCTGTAATCCTACTACATGGGAGGTTGAGATTGGGAGAGTCATGTTTGAGGCCAGCCCTAGCAGGAAAGTTCATGAGATCCCTTCTCAACCCAGAGCTTGGAGTGGTGGTGCATGCTTATTAGCCTAGCTACAATGGGAAGTCTGAAATATATAACAACATAGGTGTGTGTCTGGGTAGGAAGGAAGACCCATCACAAAAATAGTGCAAAAAAGGTCCAGAGGTATTGCTCAGTGCACTTGTGCTAGCAAAGTCCTTGAGCTCAAACCCCACTATAGGTAAGAGAATGTTTATAAGTAACATTAGTTGTAAACTTTAAACTGTCATCAACCTGAATACCCAACAGTAGAGTGAAGAAATTAATTGTCCAACTTAAGTGGCAGCCAGAGTAATAGACTACTTGCCAGATGCCACAACACAGATGAACGTCACAAATGTAAAGCATTTTACATTTTATATTATATTGAAAGTAAGCAGCCAGGTACAAGTGTATTACCTGTGTGTTTCCTTGTATATAAAGTTTCCAGATAAGCAAAATTATCTAAGTACTTTTGGGAAGATGAGGAGGAGATGTTGACTGGCCAAGCCACAAGGAAGAATTTCTGTCTTTTTTTTTTTTTTTGGTCCTGTTGTGGGGCTTGAACTTTGGGCCTGGGTACTGTCCCTCAGCTCTTCAGCTCAAGGCTAGTGTGCTACCACTTGAGCCACAGTGCCACTTCCGGCTTTTTTCTTTTTTCTTTTTTTTTTTTTGTCGGTCGTGGGACCTGAACTCTGGGCCTGGGCGATGTCCCTCAGCTCTTCAGCTCAAGGCTAGTGTGCTACCACTTGAGCCACAGTGCCACTTCCGGCTTTTTTCTTTTTTCTTTTTTTTTTTTTGTCGGTCGTGGGACCTGAACTCTGGGCCTGGGCGATGTCCCTCAGCTCTTCAGCTGAAGGCTAGCGCTCTACCACTTGAGCCTCAGCCACACGTCAGGCTTTTTCTGCTTATGTGGTGCTGAGGAATCGAACCCAGGGCCTTTGGCATGCAAGGCAAGCGCTCTACCACTGAGCCACCTTCCCAGCCCCAAGGAAGAATTTTTTTGTATGTGTGCCTGTCTTTGGCCTTGGACTCAGTCAGGGCTTGGATACTGTCCCTGAGCTTTTGTGCTCTAGGCTAGCTCTCTACCATGTGAGCCTTAACTCTACTTTTGGGCTTTTGGTAATTAGACATTAGAGTGTCATTAACTTTACTTCCTGGGCTGGCTCAAACCATAATCCTTAGATCTCAGCTAGGATTATAGGTATGAGCCACTGGAGCTTGGTTACAAGGAAGAATTTTATGTGCTAAGAATGTTCAATATTTTGATTTGGGATGTATGTAATTATACAGTATGTTTACCTTGTAAGAAAATGCATCCAGCAGTGCATTTTTGATTTGCCTACCTTTTTGTAAATTGTCACTTTTGAAAAACTTTAATGTTTTGAAAAGGCAGAATATTTTTCAGAATGTAAAGCTTTTAATCACTTAAAAGTGAGAGCCTAGCCAGCACTGGTGGTTCACACATGTAATCTTAGATATTCTGGAGGCTCAGATCTGAGGATCATTGTTTGTAGCCATCCTGGGTTGGAGAGTCCATGAAACTCTTTAATAAACTACCACAAAGCTGGAAGTGGAGGTATGACTCGAATTGTGGAGTTCTAGTCTTTTTTTTTTTGGGGGGGGTC